TGCTCCCCTCAGCGATGTATTTTGGTCAATATGCCTGTTTTGCTACCCATTCTATCTCTGGTGAGATAGAATACAGTACCTCTGGCCTGTACCTCAGTAAATAAATCTTTTTTTAAAAAGTAATTAACTTTAGTTTTTACAGTGAATAATCAATTTCTTAAAATTTTTAAACATAAGCACGCCTAAAAGTTTTAAGTTCAACTTATCAATTGTATAATCATAGCCAAAAATCTGGTTATTATCAATAATAATTCCTAAATGGGGGTTGATAATTGTTTCTCTTTTCAAAATTAAAGACACTATAAACAGCGGGTCCTCCCTGGTGGTGCGATGGGTTAAGGCTCAGCACTGTGAGGCTATTGGCAGCCACTGCAGCAAGAATTTGATCCCCAGCCACAAAGCCACCCACATGGTACAGCAGACCTCTCCTGTCTTCACCCACTGCTGCCCACTGCTCCCCTCAGCAATGTATTTCAGTCAGCCTGCCTCTTTTGCACCCCATGATAATCAGTTTATATTACATTTATACATTCCATTTCCTTTTTTAAAAAAAAGATTTACTTATTTATGCATACAAGAACTGGGGTACAGGCCAGAGGTGCAGGGGGTAGGGTGTAAGGATTCACCAGAGACAGAGTGAGGAGCAGAGCAGGCAGAGTGACCAAAATACATTGCTTAGGGGAGCATCAGGGAGACAGGAGAGGTCTGCTGCACCATGTGGGTCAGCTCCCTATCCAGGTATTGAAGTCTTGCTGCAGTGGCTGCAAAACTAGCTTCTAGGAAGGGGCTTTAACCCATTACACCACTAGGGAGGGTCCACATTCCATTTCCTTTTAAAATAATTGATTGTTATATATCAGTGATATCTCAAAATAGCAGGGTGGGGAGGGCCCTCCATGGGGCACAGAGGTTAAAGCACAGCTCTGCAAGCTAGCCACAGCTGCCTTAGAGTGAGGTGATCCACATGGAGGTGGGGGGGGGCTTCTCCTGACCTGCCCACTGCTCCCCTCAGCAGTGTACTTCATCAGTCTTCTTGTTCTGCTCCCCATTCTGTCTCTGGCGAATCCTCTCACCTCCCCTGCTTCTCTCGCCTATACCCCAGTTCTGTATGCATAAATAAATGAATCTTAAAAAAAAAAAAACGGGAAAAATTAATTCACTAAAAAATGTTTTTAATAAAACAATTGACAAGCCAACCATTCAAGTACTTTTTACTGAACTCTAATACATCTAATATACATGTATGACATTTTAAGGTTTTAAAAAATGCTTGCTTTCCAGTAACAATCCCAGCAGGGATTTAACTTCAAAGTACAGCCTAAATCAACTATTCAACTGTCCAATTTAAATTAGGCTCTCAGGCTTATCTTTTAAGTAGCCCACTCCATCAAATTATTCTAAACATTTCAAGAACTCGAAATATAAAGTATGCACTATGTAACACACATATAAAATTCATGCTGCTGGTTTGATTCTCTTTAGCATGGTTATACATAATTCTAAATCTTCCCCTGAAGTTGCAGGGACAAGAAAATATTTGAAGTGTTGTGAGGGTCCAGGGAGGACGGCACCACATTGGGGACTGAAGTTTCGCATTAAGATTTTTCTTTTTCAGGGCTCTTTCTGGTGGCACAAGGGTTAAAACACAGCACTGTGAAGCTCTCCACAGCCACTGCAGCACAAGTTCAATCCTCGGCCCTGGAGGTGACCTACATGACACGGCGGATCTCTTCTGACCGACCCACTGCTCCCTCAGCAGTGTATTTCAGTAAATCTGCCTGTTCCGCTCCCCACTCTGTCTCTGGTGGATCTTCTCTCCCACCGCACCTCTGGCCTGTACCCCAGTTCTGTATGCATAAATAAATATATCTTTAAAAATTTTTTTTCAAAGGAACTCTCCTGCATTGCTGGTGGGAACGCAAACGAGTACAACCACTATGGAAAACTGTTTGGAGGTTCCTCAAACTGCTAAACATGGAGCTTCCATAAGACCCAGCAATCCCACTCCTAGGTATCCACCCAAAAGACACAAAAACACTTATTCAAAAAGACTCCTGCACCCCCATGTTTATTGCTGCTTTATTTACAATGGGAAAGACCTGGAAACAGCCCAAATTCCCAAAAGCAGATGACTGGATTAAAAAGATGTGGTACATATACACAGTGGAATATTACTCAGCAACCAAAAAAATAAACACATGCCTATTGCAGCACCATGGATGGAGCTGGAAAAGATCATGCTTAGTGAAATAAGCCAGAAAGAAAAGGAAAAATAGCAGCTGGTTTCACTTATAGCAGGAGTATAACGGACCAGGCGAAAAAATAATAGTAATGATGAACTGCTATATACTAGAGACATTTGATGGGGGTGGAGTGGGGTCAAAAACAGTGGGGGGAAGGAAATACACTGGACTATGGTGATGGCACATGGGTGGTTTGGTGAGGGGAGCCCACGGGGATTACAACTGAGATGGAAAAATGCACAAAATGATATAAAAATAAACTATATTATTTTAATTTTTTTTTTCTTTTTCTGTGACCCTGACCATCAGGCTGAGGCCCTTTCATAGCCACTGTGGTGCAGACTCCAGCTGTTGCAGGATGGAGACCCGACTGCCCACAGCTTGGGGGTGGAGTCCTGGCATAATTCAGTTTTCAAGCCTTAGTCTTTCATCATTACCCAAGTCATTGCATGCCTGTTTGTATTCAGTGTATCACCTACTTCCTGATTCATTTTTCTCTGGATTCCCCCAACTCCTGAGTCAGCTGGCCTTTGGTTGAATACTGTGGACTGTCAGCCGCTTGACCTTGGAAGACATTTCACTAACTCTTGTGCTTCACTTTCTAATCCATGAAGTGGAAAGAAAACGTTCCTGTTTACTGGATGAGTCTGAAGATGAGTGAGAGGATGTGTGGAAGCCCTTCAGGGCAGCCTGGACAGAGCTGGCTCAGGGACACCCTGGTCCTTGTTACCTTCACTGTTAGGGACAGGCCAAGCTGTGGAGCTGGACCTGTGGGCTGGGTGTCTGTCGGACTCAGCGCACTAATTCCAATTCTGATAATAAGGACCCTGCCATCCCTTTGCCTCTTATGAATGTCAAATGCTCCCTCTGCTGGACATTACCCAGACTTGGATAGAGTTACCACCATTTCCTCCAAGGTCTGGCTATACAGCAGAAGGGTTGGTGGCCCTTTAAGAGGCAGTAGCTAGCTCCCAGTTGCCATGGAGACAGCTAGCCGCAGACCAGGTAGCAGCAGGCAGCAAGTTCTCTAAAGTTCAATCCACAGGTGGGAAGGAGGCTGGGACTAGAAGGATAGGGGCATCCACTTCCTCACGATACCCTAGGCTGAGCTGTGAGGACCTCGGCCACACCCCTGCGTATCCCCAAAGTCCACCATCTCAGCTTCTCCTCCCGCTGTCACCCCCTCGCCAAGGACCACTGGGTCATGAATAACCAGTCCTCAATCCAGAAGAGTCTGGCACCGCCAGAGGCAAATGCTGAAGCCATCCAGTACCTCAACTCTCTGCGTGAGCTTGGAGGGGCGGTGGCAGGAGCAGGGAGCGGCAGTCTGGAGCACAGGGAAGAAGGGAGGCTCAGACCTGGCCGCAGTTTCCCAGCCTCCACTCTCCAGGAATTCGGAAAGTGTGTGAGGCCCCTTTGTTAATATCCTTCCAGGGGAGACTCCTTCTCTTCACCTGCTGACAGACTTGTGGGGTGAATAGCGGTGGGGGGAGACTGTAGGGCCCTGGTGACGTGAGGTCTAGGACTTACTCTGTCCTCACTCCTGCGCCCCCAGAGCTGGAGGAACTGCAGATGCTCTTTTTCTCGGAGACGTTGGTCATGGTCTCGGACTCAGGGGAACCTCAGGGAGAGCTGACCATTGACGTGCAGATGGGAAAATACAAAGATAAAGAAGTTGGTTTCTTCTCCTACTGCCTCCTGGTGCATGCCTTCAGCCGAGGCTTCCTCAGCAAAACACCGTTCGGCAACTCCCTCCTGGGTGAGTGCTCCCTCCCAGGCCCTGCACCTCCTCCTCCTCACCACCTCACCCGTGATTCCCAGGACCTTTGAGCTCACCTTGGGACCTTTTCACCTTGGACCAGAACTAGGCAAAGGGGGCAGGGGGCCGGCGGTGGGGGCAGGGGCACTGGCTACCATCTCCCCACACACAACCTGAGCCCCCCACTTATTCTCCAACCCTTCTCCCGGACCACAGTGCTCCCTCCCTCCACCCCAGGCTACCTCTCTATGAAGCTGGAGATCTTGGAACAGCACAGCCAGGAATTCATCAAGGTACCTCCTCAGCCCCTAGCTTTGACCACAGGTCAGGAAGACAGAATAGCCACCCTGGAAGGGAGGGAGAGCCCAAGGGAGCGGAAGAGGGGGGGCTCAGTGAAATGCACCCCAACTCTCTCCCCAGTTACTCTGCTGGGCCCAGCACACACACACTACTTGGAAACCAGTGCCTCTGGCTATTAGAAGGCTGTTTGTGTCGACCTTCCCTTGACACACAAATCCTAGCCCAGCCCGCTGGGTCATCCTCCAGCCAGAGAGCCCAGGAGGCCCTGGGGGTTGCGTCTCCCAAAGCTCCACTTCTTTTGCTTGTACCCCTGAGTCCTGCCACTTGACTGGCTTCTGGAATGAGAGCCCTGTCACATGAGAGAACTCCAACCCTCCCAGAAAAGCCACTGCCATGTTTTTTTTTTTTT